TTTATATAATTAATTTAAAAAAAAAATTTTTTAAAAATATTAATTATTCATAAAAATAAATCAGAAGAGAATTTATAATAAATAAGCAGGCAAATTTGCCTGCGAAACCCTACAATCTAAGGGATAATCTGAATCTGAAACCCCTTCTTTTTCCAGATCTCTTTACTGATGGAAAGTGTCACTTTCACGACACTTCAGATCAATCTGTTGATGATGAATTTAGTGACAAAACTTACGGCAAGTACATCAAGTTACGGCTGATGAATATTGATTTGAGATGGAGGCTTCACCATTACTGGCCTTCATGATCTTATTTGCAACTAGAAAAGTTGAGGCACCATTAGAACACGCAATGACTGCTTTGACAAAAGAATCTTCTTAGAAATAATGGAACGAACTTACTAACGGCAAGCAATTACTCCAGCTGAGTGCCTACTCTTTGCGTAATATAATTGACGAATCAAGTACGGTCTCCATTCCTTCTTTCATAAGAACTGGTGACACATATTTCCATCAAAAGCAACTCCACCTGAACTTGATGATCAATAAACTGAGTTTACTAACCTTATTCATTACTTTAAGTATGGCTGAACATCGCTGGTCTCACCTAATGAATATACTCGCTAATTCAGATAATTGAGACACATTACCTTTGAATAGGCCTTTTCACTGCGCAAACTACTTTGTCCACAGATTCCAATCCCTAAAGAAAGAATTTTATAAAAAAATGGATCTCATGGGATTCGGTGAGATTACCAATTTTTTTGATTGAATTAAATTCCAGAACAGAGAAGCTGCTCACACCCATAGTTGCTATTAGACAACTAACTTGATAGAAGATATAATCTTTGCGGATATTATATGTTCGTCAGTTCCAGATCCTTTATACGAACCTGAACTTTACGCTGCAGTTATTGCGAATCAGATCCACACTTGCAACTTACATTGCCAAGGATCTCTAGCTTCAGGTCAAACTTGCAAAAAAGGATTTTCTCGACCTTTCAGTCTGACAACACATTATAAAGAAGGCAACTCCCGGTATATCTACAAATGCCTAACTCAAGCCGATTCGTGGGTTGTCCTGTATCATCCTCTGACTCTATTATTATGGGATGCGCATATGAACTGTCAATATATAACTGACAAAGGTTTCACTAGGTACATGTTGAAATACATCATGAAAACAAAACCTTCACACATATTTAACATCTACGAAAATGATCTCCTGAAGTAGTACATCATCGCACGCAGGTTGAGTTCTATGAAGCTTATGTTCTTACTACTAGGACATACGATCTGTAACTCATTCACGAATATCCAATTTCTCACCACTGATCCTCCTCCTACGAGAACACGGGCGATACTTCCTGCTTACATCATGCGTGAAGATGACGACAACCCATATTACAATGATACTATCACCAAATATTTATCGTGTCCTCACTCTCTCGAATTCGAAGCCCTAAAATACAATGAATACTTTTAGATTTCTCTATCCAGACCTCTTAACATCTCTCGACAAATCCACTGAGATGACCTATCCAACTATGTTGTTAAACGATCGAAGGATATCTTGACTAGGCACCGTTTCCTCAATGTAGAAGACGGAGAATTGTACTTTTATCAACGTTTGCTGTTAACCGTTCCTGCGAAAAACGAGAATAATTACAAGAGTCAACAAGATGGAACTTATCGTGAAAAGTTCCTCCAATTATTCCCCAATTTCCTATCTGAACTCTGAGATCAAACTCATAATCAACATCAATTACGAATGATTCGATTAAATAATCAATTCGCTGAGATGTTGGATCATTTGTTAAATTCTCTAACCCTCCAACTTCCATCTAACTTTCACCGCATAATACAAATTCAGATGGAAAATTTAAAGATACTCTCTCACATCTATCTAATGACAGCCATGCTTGAATTATCACCAGACCAATATCGAACCTTGTTCACAATCGCTACCTACATGGGTCCCAATGATGGAGTCAAATGGTCTTATTTCTTTATCACAGGCTCAGGGAAAACCAGAAAATCTTTTATCGTTAATACGATAATCAACATGCTAAAAAGATGATTATCAACTTACCTTTTACTTGCATCTATAGGAGTGGCAGCCCAAAATATTGGAGGACAAACAATTCACTTAGCTTTGCGCATCACTTCGACCGGTGGGACCTTTCATACACGTGCTTATGCCGATACTGAACTAAACAATCAACTAAAAAATATCAATACTCTCGTTATCGATGAAGCGTCCATGATTTTCGCAAACCTCTTCGATTTCATCTCCAATACTTTCGCGAACCTCTACAACAACTCCATTCCTTTCGGTGATATAAACGTCATCGTCGCAGGTGACCTAGTACAACTTCCTCCAATAACTGGTTTACATATCTTCTGCTCAGTAGCTTGGCCTTTATTCTATCTGTTATTCCTAAGAAATCCACAATATCAACAGAACGATCCCATATTCTACGAAATGTTGCAAAATATTCGAATAGGTTCTATATCCGCTAAAACTTGGAATATATTAGATCGATATTATGCCGAATTCTTCACTAGGTCCTCGATCCAAAACCAACTCAACACCACTCACATAGTCGGTTTCAGAGAAATGGCACAACAGATCAATATGATGATCTGTAATACTCTTCCAATTTCAGATGGTCGATTCATCATGTCTAAAGCGATCAATGTCATAGATTCTATTAGGTGGGAATCGACTTTTTCTGATCATATTTTTAAATCGAAGACGAATCTCCCTTCTTGCATTCGTCTTCAACCGGGTGCTCGAGTGATGTATCTGAATAATACGATCATTGACCAAGGAATATGTAACGGTACGATAGGAATAATCACCGATGTTAATACCAACGAAGATTCGGTACAGGTTGCATTTTCTATAAGAGATTCAATAGTCGATATAGTTATCTACAAGTAGACTCACTACTTCCAACTAAATGGATACAACGGTCAACGTATCCAGTTCCCCTTGCAAAATTTATTCACTTTTACTGTTCATAAAACGCAAAGCTTAACCCTTTCGAGGGTAACTCTTGCCTTAGACGAAAATATATTTTCTCCCGATCAGGCATACGTCGCTCTTAGTAGATGTCCTGTCTGGAATAACGTAGACATATCACATCTTGATCGTTCCGCATTCATAGTTGATAATGACGTTATAGACGAATATAAAAGGTTAGAAGACGTCTCTAACAGTAGACCGCAACGTTTTCTATAAATCAAATATCCTTTACGACGAAATTTAAAAGATTAAAAAGATCCTACATAGCGTCATTACACGTATCAATGCATGCATTATTATCACATTTTAAGATCCACTGATGATCATTTATGAAAAAAATTATTTTATTAATAAAACGTAACGTGGCTACTGGTACAAAAAAAGACTGGCTAGTTCTAATAAAGTTAGGAATTGATAATTTTTAATTTAGTAATACAGACATTTTTTTAATTAATCGTATTTTTAACTTATAAATAAACAGTATTAAAGATATTTTTATGTTGATTAACGCTTCAAACGCTCCTAACGGTTCCCATTACCTAGTTTATTAGAATAACAATATGATATAGTCTCAAAATAAAATATCTTAATATTTATAAATAAGTTTTCCTACCGATTCTATTGATTGTAAAAAATATATAAGTTTCACGATTCCATACATCCATCATATAAATAATAAATTTTGACCTGTAATAGAATAAATAAAAGAATGAATACATTGAGAAAATAAGTTCAAGTAAAAGAATACTTCAAGCAAATGAAGTAAAACGTTGTCTACTTTCACATAATAATAAATATATTTTTCTAAATAATTAAGTAACAAATAATAATTCAAAAAAGTGCTTAACCAAAGTTTTACTTTTTCAGTTAGTCTTCACTTCATGTTAATGCTTCATAATAAATTTCTTAAAGCATACCTTGTTCAAATCAACAGATTATAACAGATTTTTACAGATTATGAAAGAGAAAGTTTGAATCTGTTATTTCAATTATTATTATGTGGCTGTGTAAAAAAAAAAGTGTCAAAAAATAAATAAAAATATCACGTAAATTCGTTTGCATTTCTATGTGAATCGATCGATATATAGAGTAAAGAAAATTCCAGAATCGATTTCCAAATCAGGTAATAGTTTTTCCTGACTGAAATATTTGCGCGATTTCTTTTGTAAAAAAAAAAAAAAAAATTACATTCACGCTTTTTATTAATCAATGTCTACCAGGTGGTGCACTTATTTCAATGAAACGAATCCTAAAGACTACCGTTTTCTGGATTTTTATAAATACCGCTCGAAGCAAGTTGACTTTACCTTCTCTTTTAAGATAGAGGCATACAAACTACAAATGGATCTAGATCTTCTTGTGAAGGAGGGCTCTAAGGAAATGAAAGAAGTTGCGAGACAAATGAAAAATATTTTGAAGGTATTTATTTAATTTTCATATTACTGTTCACTGTGTAATTGTTTAGCAGAGGGACCCTCTCATAGCTACGATGACAATGGAATGTTGTCTACTTTATGGATGGAATGTCCGCTATGGGAAAATGGGAACTCTTTACAACTACGGTGAAAAAATGGAATGTTGTAAACCTTATGGATGGAATGTCCGTTGTATTTAATAAACAAATTCTGTGTGAACTAGTTAAGTTATACTTTAATTAATATATTAATTTTTTACTTTTTTTGAGAATCATCGCAAAACACTTCATGATGTCAATGCTTTTTGGAAAAAAATTGAACTGAATAATCAGCTACAAAATATAGAGGTTGTATTTTTTTTGTCTATTTAATAAAGCCGGAACTTATATTAACTATTGCATTTATTGATTGCAGGTTGAAGGTACTAACTCATTAATAAGCACCTCTGCAGAGACACTTAGGACTACTATTGGAAATATTAATTATACCATTGGAAACATCAATAATACTTTGGTATGAAAAATTGTTGGTAGTAAAATTTTTTTCTTTTACTATACTAATAATATTCACAGAAATTACCAGGAAATCAGATTGATGACTCAACACTTGGATGCAAGCGAGCTTGCGAAAATGATAAAGAATCACCACCAACTCCTCCAAATAAGGTTAGTATATATCTTAAATTTATTTAAGAAACATCTCTTAATCTTTTGACTTCCTTTCGAATGTATAGGTCAGAATTCTTAAAACAGGATACAATAATGATTCGGAATTTTATAATGGAGAATCTTCCTCATCAGACTCTGAAATTATACAAAAATCACTTACAAATGTTTTCCTTGAGGCAAAAAATTGTGGTGATGACAATGATAATGATGATAATGATGATGATGATAATGTGAATAATGGTAATCTTGAAGTATATCAAAGGCCTATATCAGAATCTGTGGATGATAGTAATAATATTTTAGAATCTGTGAGTCGTGAAGTACAACAAATGCCTGTTCCAGAGTCCATGGGTAATAATAAACAAAATGACAATGTGCCAAAACACAAGGTTACAAGAAATAAACCTAAATATATAGAGCATAACCTTGCACAAGAGTTGTTAACGAATTTACATTTATGTCCATTAAAAGGACACAAATGGCTATGGGAAGGCATTGACATTAGTAATATTTTCAAAGATAACAAAAATGCTAAAACGTAAGAAATTTTTTACATCTGAAGATTCTTTACCATTAATTTTTTAATTAATATGTATTTTATTTTAAAAGGCCATTAAACATTGGTGTTGTAAATTTTCATAATAATTCATGTATACAACCTCTGCCATCATCTATGATTACATATATACAAAAACAAATGGAAAATGATAATGAAGATATAATCTTCTTTGACAACGACAAAAAAATTGGAATAAACAAGTTTGCAATTGACATTGATGAAGAAGTTAAGAAATTTCTGAATGAGTTTCAAGATTGTGTAAGTTATATGTTTATTACAAAATTAAAAGATTGATATATTAAATCAAATTTATTTTACAGGTATCATTAGATGTATTGCGTCAAACTCTGCACAAGAATTCGGTCCACAATCACCCAAACCTTAATTTTAATATTTGTTATGTTTACCAGTTTTTTAATCATATGTATGAAAACTTTTCTAATTTCATAATAATGTTGCCATATTTTAAAATGTTAAACCTTTATATTTATGTTTTTGGTTTTTTATGGATAGGTATAACCTCTATTCAAATGACATGTTATCTCAATCCCTAACCGAATCTGAGTATAATTCATATGTATGGACACCACTTTTATCCTATGCATTTATGGAGAAAGGGAATATTCGAATTTCTAGGTATGCTTGAATTACAAGACTATTATTATTTGAACTTTTTGTGATGATTAATTTTATTTCACATTTAAGTGGAGAGGTTGCATCTGTTGCATATGACAAGTTAAAAAAACTTGCTCAAGTTCAAACAAAAAGTGGTCCAAAAATGGACTCAAGAGCAACTATTATGTCGATTGGTCAAGAAGTATTGGTTCAGGAAAATGCTAGATATGATACTGCTGACAAAAGAAAAAATGACTTATCAAAATTAGAATATTGCTCAAAGGTGTTGCTCACCAGTGCATACCTTGCTTTGCCAACTGTTGTCCGTCCAGACATTCATAGATTCGAGATATATGCTATTCAAGCGAATGGTAAATAGTTTTATCTAACTTTATAATTTAGTGCTAATAATGAGCTAATACTATTATGTATTCTTTCAGAACTTTCATTATCATTATATGTAGCTTCTTATATGTTTGAGAACACAATTTGTATGTTTGGTTTAACAGATATTACAATTCCGCGAACAGTTGAAGCTTTTCCAAAATGTGTTGAAGCAGTGTGTAAAGTGTTGTCATGGAAGGTTTGTATTCTGTTTATATACTTATTTTGTATTATGGTTCATTTAACTAATATAAAACTATTTAGGCACGATCCCAAAATAATACCAAAATTTTTCATGAATTAATTGGAAAATCGGCTTTCCAAATTTGTGAGAGAAAATATTTCACTCCAAAAAGACTTGTAAGTTTTAATAATCATAATTGGTAAAATTTCAAGGGACAAGGATCATTATTTTAACCATCTCAATAAAAACTTATTTTTTTTAAACTGTCATGTACTTGGTGGAAACAGTAATCTGATACTGGATTTATAATATAGTTAATTTGCAGAAATGTAATATATTTGGGGTGAAAACAAAATGTGGCAGTTATTAAAAAAATTTTTTTTCAATTGTTAAAGAGCTAAATAGGAATGTGAAGATTCAATGATTTGAAAAATAAATTCATCGTTCGATACTTCATATAACAAGCTAAAATTAAATTTAAAATTAATTAAAATTAAAAATCATTTATAATAAGTGTTAGGTGCAACTAGAAATGTGATAACAATATTAAGTTTTTTTCTGAATTAAAAAAAATACAATTTATTTAAAGTATAAAATCTAAATGTCTTGTTAAATATAATATTAAAAATTAAAAATACAAATATATTATAAAAATGAAAAGTTGGTGTAATAAGGTTGGTAAAGTAAGATGAAATCAAATAATAAAAAAAAATCATTTAAAAAATTGCATTTATTTAATAAAAAAACCGATTATAAAATTTATTTTTGATTAAAGTAAAAAGGCAGTTGTGAAAATTTAGATTTTTTTTTAATTACTAAAATTGTTAAAATAAAACAAAATCTATTTTTTATCATAATTTAAATAAATGATTCAATTGATTTGTTTAAACAATAAAAATTTTAGCTATACTTGCTTAAAGAATGTATTTATTTTTAATAATGAATTGATTAGTTTCTCTTTTTTTTTTTTTGATAAGTTTACAACATGAAGATAATGCTAATAACTTGTGGTTTTTTTAGTAATTGGAAAACATCACCTTTATCACTTTTTATGTCTTAAAAAAACTTGGTTAAAAATTGATATATAAGATGTTTTTTTTAAAAAATAATAAATTCCAACTTTTCTGACATAACATAAAATAAATTGTTATGTTCCTTAACAATTCTTAAACAAATACAAAATCCGTAATAGTACTATTGGGGTAATAATAACTGACATTGATGTAGAAAACATGATGGTAAGAGTTAACTTCTCTATTCATTCTAGAATAGTGAACACCAAATTTCTTAGTGAATGGTATTCTTGAAAGTAAAGAACAGTTTCCTATAAAAAATGCTTTTGCATTAATAGTGTGAGCTAGGATTTGTCAGATGATATGTTAGAGATGTATTATTGGATGTGATAAGGCAAAGAATGAGAAATTAAAGAACCAGTTAGAACAATTACAACAGAATGGTCAAATTGCTCAAATTGAAGTCAAAGAGACTAAATGTAACAATTAAAAATCGTTACAGATTTTAATTAATTGTTTCTTTATAGACAAAGAGTTACACTTAAAGATGGGAACTGTAATTAATACGTTGCAACTTTTAATGTTGCAACTTACGTTGCAATTAGTTTTAACCTATAT